GTTTCCCGCAAGTAAAAACACAATGTCGATGATTTTGGAAGACACCGGATCACGCAAGACACTTACAGTACTTTTTTAGGGATGGGCGCTTATCCCACCCTCCCCCTCATAAAATTGTAATTCACCATTCGACAGTGTTCACTGCACTTTATTGGATGCAATGGTCAGACATCGTCATATCTAGACCCGATAAAAATCTCTGCAAGGGGTGTAGAATTCGATTTTGAAAAAAAACAAATTTACGTATAAGGCCCTTGATCTCATATAAACGTAAAAAGAACAATAAAACAAATGAATCGCAAGTGTGGAAATTAGGACAACAAACAATATAATATTATATTTTATTCAAGTCATCAAACATGCTTTGACTGGCTTCATTCAGGCAATGTCACACGTCTATTTGCTTTCTCGGGACTCACCCATAGTTCAGCAATTTCATGAGAATTATAGTGATTTTGTTGGCGAATCAAAATTCGTCAAAAGAAATAAATTTATGCTATTGACCACCTGACCAGTCAATGTGTTTTATATAAGTCGGCATTACTGAATAACTTCTAACAATATTATTGGTTTTATATTTAGTTTATGAAGATATTTCATCTTTGGAAGATAAAAGATATCAAACCTTGGGAAAAGTCCAAGAAATCAACTACCAGAATGCTACAGATAATAAGACAGAGTGAGTACAATTTATGCACAATGCACTGTAAGATTTGTTTCTATCCACAGTTTCACAGACGTATTATTTGAATGTTGCTCTGATATCCATGTTTCATTTCGAATTATTTTAATTTTCGTTTCAGAAGTGAGGTTGAATACGAATTACCTGACAATAAGCGTGTCTGAGTTAAGAATAATATTGAGTAGAGGTGAATATGAATTGATTTGATATTTAGCTACTATGACAATCAACCACTCATGTCCTATCTGTCAGTCATTGCATGTATATTAATCATCAACTCAGCATTATGTAAAGGTTTACTAATATTTTAAAAATGGATTTTATTTCAGTAACGCTTGTGGCATTGAATGACGAAACAGATAACCACGAAGACACTAACATGTATTTTTTGCAACAAAACAATTTCATATTAATTTTCTATATTATATATACTCAGTATTGTACCACTATATATGCGGTAATGATGTTAAATTACTTCCACATATTGTTGCATTATATAAACGGATATTAATTAATATTTCTACATTATACGTATATAATTAATATGTTGGGTCCAAGGAGAATGATTGGGAGATGTTCAGATCAATGTCAATGTAAAGTTTATCGAAATGAGCTGTACTGAATAAAATCGTTAAATCATGGTATTATTACTCATCTTTGATTTTGTAACTAGTAGATTACCGGAAATAGTTTGTTGGCCCACTTAAGTTACAAATGATATGGAAGACTACATAGTTCAATGCTTGATGGCATTGCATATACGCAAAGTTAAGTTTACGTATTTGATTGTAATGTTCAATAGACTCACAAAATATCATATATTTTATTGGTTGATTGCAGCAAATTAAACAATCCGTAGGCATGTACTTGTGTTTCTTTCCTTTGTTATATGTTGCATAGGAATTTGTTATAGAAGCTTAAGACTGCTTATTTCCGACTGAAAATAAATGTTAGAAATTTGAGATAAAAGAAATATACAGTAAATATATCACATCTGTCGTTTTAACATAGTGGCCAAAGGCTGACTAAGTCCAACGACATAACAGTTATGTAATCAATAATATACTACACATATAGAAATAATTGTATACGTAGAAACAACAATGAAGCAACAAAGGTTATATAATTACAGTATCGGAAAACACAACACAAGAGCCGAGGGAACCAACCAACCAGGAGGAGTGAAATTTAGTCATCAAAATAGTTAAGGACAAACAGTATAACCTGATTAAATCAGTCTCATAGCTCAAACGTAGCAAACATGATTTCTGGCTTAGGTTGAGTGATTTTAGTTGAGTTTTTGTTATATTGTATATTTTTTTAAATGGCGGGATATTGCAGGTTAATTCGGTTTATCGTTTTGTGTTCAATGCATGCATTTGTTATCGTTTACACAAAAAATACTATTAAGCTATGCGACAAATACATATCTACATAAATCGAAACAAATGGTTATAGTTGCATAAATCACAAAATCAAGTGACGCCAATGTTCATTTTTGTGTTCTGCGCAATAATGTATAGCATGATTTGACACGCATACTTGTCTTTCATGCTCATTAAAGTGTTCAGGTGCTTATACAAATGTTGTTTTAGCGGATAACGAGTCCGGAGTAGTTTTTTTTTTTAAAGTTTGATCATGGGAGTATAAAGTTGTGTACTTTTGAAATATATTGTAGTAATGTTCACTACTGGAGATATACAGGTAAAACTTATATTTAAAAAACATATGTTTAGGAAAACTCTCCAAACAATTATCAAATAGATATAAATAGATAATAGTGTAATTATTTAAAATATAATACCACATATGTTGGTTAAATCATGGAATGAACTATGGTATCTATAGAAATAAAAGATTTACAGATTTGGAATCTCGATATGCATAATATTAAACGTTAACAGTATGAAGATACCATTTAACTAAAATACTGACATTCTGAACATGGCTGTGACATTTTGAGCCATGTCTCATATCACAATGACAGTTTAGCTTTATATGTGGGTTAATACAATTGTCCTTTATAAAGCTAACATGTTAGGCGAGATAGTGTAAATGACAATGGTTATATAGTCATTTTCTGGTAGTACAGATAATTTATATACATAACGTATATGTAGACGTCGCCTTTAACTTCTTTTAGTGATCAAGAATATTATTTCTCCTGATTCCCTCGTTCCCCGGGAATAATTAATTGGTTGTATAGAATGTACATTTACATACGTGATTCCATATTCATGTGTTTACGGTAAATATAACCTGTGATTGTTGTAACATTGTTATTTCAGTTCAGCTGCATTTAATTTAGCAGATTTTACTTTTCAGTAAAAAATAGCCAAATTAAAAACCATTGAATAACTAATACAATTATTGTAAACAAGCACACAAGAGTGTAAATTATGTTAAATACAAATATGCATAAGAAAGTTTCTTTGTATGAAATTGGATCTATGACGTTATGTTATCAAATTTCGAAGAAATATTAAAATTATATTGTAATTACATGGCTCACCTTATTACTTCTCCATGAACCAAACTTACTACAGTTTTTTAAAAGTCAATATAAATTATTATTATATCATAATTTATATGTTAGATAAAACAATAATCTTGACCTGAATTTGACCTGGGCAAACCGAGCCAAGAACCTTATATATTGTGCATATGTGTCGTTTATGTCAAATTTGATGTTTTATTCATTTATTCTCGAACTCATATAAACTTGCTGCTAAATCTATAAACAAAAAAAAAACGTTTTTCTTATTATAGTTTGAATTATGGCGTCATAATTACGTCACATACTCATGAAATATTACATTTTCAATGAAGCTAAACATAAAATAGATAAAATAATGAATGAGCCTATCCAGCTTGTATACCAAGTTTGATCGTTTGATCCCCAGTGTCACGATCTCACCCGAATTTCACGCAAGACTAGTCTAAGGTAAACCATAAATAACAAAGATGTTAATGTGACCTTTTCAGTAATAATATGAGTAATCATAAGTAAATATATTATTACTACTCATAATAAGAATATGGATACTGATATAAATATGAGTCAATGTAATACTGATGAGGGATACAGTTATTATAAGTCATCAGTCATAAAAAAACAACTCAGAGGCGTTCAAATTCAGCCAAATGGTAATGTTTAATACTGCCACCAACTACCACTGTCGCTATTAAATGAGTACACTCGGATTCATAATGATGTATATGTTTTAAGTGTCCCAAGTCATAAGTGATTGTAAATATCAGTTAAGCCTAATTTATGTACTGGCAGTATGATGAGCAAGGTTGCTATCATGTTCAGCAATCCGTGATATGTTGAAGTATAAATGGCTTTTGAATGATAATGCTACTAAATTAATTTTCCCAGTCCCAGT